GAGATATAATAGCATTTTTGTTTTCTTAATATTAAAAAGAACAATCTATTTAAGTAATTTTAACAATATTTTAGCCAATTGTTGTCCGACATAATATTTATAGTATGATGGAAGTAGCTCATAATGCAACATTTATGCTTCAGGCTTTTATTTAAGCAATAATAATTACTATTAATGTAAAAAACAAGTGCAGATTGTTTAATTAATGGAATCAATTGTAGTACTTGTATTGATACTTAAAATTAAACAACTCCTTCATGTAATTGTGTTGATGGATACATAATGAATACTTCAACATCCTTATGCGATTAATGTTAACATCCATGCGCTACATGCTAAACAACAGTAGATTATTGTTTAACATGTGCTGCAACATATACTATAGATTCGAATACTCATACATGTTCATGCTTAACTAGTTAATATGAAGTAAATGTTACACCATAAAAATGTTAAAATTGTACGAGCCCATGTGCAACTAATTGTGGATCATGTGTAATTGGATTAAATCAAAATCTAAAAACTAACTAATTTGTTTGTGATGATTGATATTATGAAAATACTATTTGTTTACCATGTTAATAACCATGCATTAACTGTACTTCTTTATGAGTATGTACATCATGACAAGATCCAACTCATTAATCAGGATCTTCATGTGAATGGATATTTAACTTGTATTGATACTAATTAAATAATAAATTCTTCTAAGAATTGTGTTTGTAAATCAGGTGATTATTAAGTTGGCTTAAATTGTTCATAATGTGTAACACCATGTTAAACTTGTCAAATCAATTAGGATCATTTTTAACGTGTACTGAAATTCATTAAACTCAAATCAATAACTTATGTATATGTAATGATAGATATTTTGATGTCAATCATATTTGCTAACAATACTAATATTCATGCACAAAATGCCAATTATAAAATGGTCATTGTCTGGAATGTTTAGATTCAAATCATGATTTAATCAGTAATAAATGTGTATGTAAATATGGATTTGGCTCTTCAGGAATAAATAATTTCAATTGTTCACTCTGTTAATATCCACGTCTTGATTGCTCAAGTAGTGTAAACACTTGTCTCTCTTGCATTGATAATAATAGATTCAAACTTGAAATTAACAAATGTGTATGTAAGTAAGGTTATTTTGATACATGAACTGATTGTTTATAATGTTCATCATAATGTTCTACTTGTTCAGAATAATCTAATAAATGTTTATCATGTTCTGACCCTAATCATTAATTATAATTAAATGATTGTTATTGTAAACCAGGTTATTATACTGATAATTAAAAGAATTGTTTACGATGTTAGCATCCTTGTCTAACTTGTAATTAAGATTTTTGCATATCTTGTTAAGATAGATATAATCTTGTTGAAGGATAATGTAAATGTGTAGAAGGGTATTATTATATTGATTTTTATTGTGAATAATGTAATTAGAATTGTAGTAAATGTAACTCATAATCTGAATGTATAGATTAATATTATCTATAAATAATTAATGTTTAAAATGTCAAATTCCATGTTTAGAATGTCTTGATATTTAAACTTGTAAAACATGTTCTGATAATTATATCATTGATGATCAAGGAAAATTTACATAATGCATCTAAAATTGTGAATATTGTATTGATTCAACAAATTGGGTTAAGTGTTTTGATGAATTCTATTATCATGATTATGCATGTATTCCTTGTTCCGATTAATGTTAGACTTGTGTATAAGATAGTAAATTTTGCACATTATGTAAAGATTCAAATCACATATTAATTAAAAAAACAGATATTTGATATTAAAAAAATAATTTTGGAGATCGTGATGATTATAATAATTTGGAATAAATACTATTACTCCAAGATATCAGATGCAATTAAAATTAATTATTAATAGGTTATGAATGTATTAATTAATTTGGAAATGGTTTACTTAATGAATAAAATGAATAATGTGATGATTGTA